TGAGCAGTTGTATATTCATGACTACATGAGCATACAAAGTGCTTTCGCCTCCCTTCTTAGGTCGGTTCCTTAGAAGCAGAGCCTGAGACGGGGATTCTGGTCCAAGTGATTGATTGGTGTGGCTCTCAGGAGAAACCTGGAGGGAAGTGAGGGAAGCAGACAGGTCAGAGGAAGGAGCTCCACAGTGTGAAGAGCACCTGGGACTTGATCCCCCCTGAAGTCTGGGGCAGCTCTGGTACCCGTATCAGCCAGACCCTGGCTGTGGGCTGCCCGCCCCCCCCAGGAGGGGTAACCTAGACTTTCCAGCCGAGGGCAGTTCTCAGGAGGAAGGGGCAGGGGAGCTGTCAGTAATGGGAGGATGGGCACATCTGCGGGTGGGGCCCTGACAGCCCCTACTTGGTCTCTCTTTTCTCCTGTGAAACAGCCCAACCAGCAGTGACTGTTTCCATTTCCCAAATGAGGCGACTGTCAGTGGAGGAGTTAGACTTGGGCCCAGTTTCTCCAACTCCAGAATCTTCATCCCTGCACCCTTCCAGGTTTCAGGGGTTTGTCAGGGCCCAGAGAGACGAGAATGAGCCTGTCCTCCTTAGGGCGAGATGACCAGGAGAAAGGGGGCCGCTGCAGCCTGCTCTCGGCCATGGCCCCCAACAGCCCACCCTTGCCCTTTCCCCGGGATGCCCCCCACCCTTCACCACGTGGGGACTCCTGACACCCAGGCAGCGTTCCTGGAGAGGTCTGTTGTGCCCCACACCACCCCTTACCTCTGGGTCCTTACTCTCAAGATGTGTGGTGCAGCTCAGCTGAGTGGACGTTTCTGGAGTCCCTCTCTTGTGCTTGCCCAGGCCGGCACAGGAGCTGTAGCACTTGGGGAAGGGAAAGAGCTCGTGGGCCCGAAGTTTGGCAGGATGGGAGGCAGTCGGTGCACACAGCAAGATGGGGCGGATTGTCTGTCGAGTTGATGTGAACTTCCCAAGGGGAAATTTGGTTTTCAGCTTGTAGCTCCAGGCAGACGTGCCCTCAGCTGGCGAGGGGCTGTGACCTCTCCAGACTCTTCACAGGATAGGTGCACGGCCTGGGCATGGAGAGGGGAGCCGGGCCTGGCTCTTGGGGTGCTTTCACTGCCCAGGTCTGGTGGGCTTCCATCTGTGAGGAGGGCTGCATGGAGTTCCGTCGGGGGTGAGCACTGGGAGGCAAGGTCCCCAGGTGCCCGGCCAGGGGCCTCCCATCGGGGAGGGTGTCACAGCAAATATCTGCACAGAGAGGCCATGCAGAAGCGGAGGCCATTGCTCCTGGCTGGGAAGCCTTGGGAGACTGGCTGGGGTGGGCTGAGACATGGTGGCTAGAGCTGAGGTCTGGCAGGTGGATGGAACGACTTGACTTTCAGGGGCTCCATTCCAAAGTCACCCCAGACTCTAGCACTGGGGTGCTGACCGATCTCTGCAGCCACTAGCCTGAGGTCACATGGACAGTCCCTCTGAGCTTTGTTACCTGGACAGGCCTGTGCCTGCATGGGTGGGCTGGGCCTCAAGAGAACAGAGTTTGGGGTGGGGGCCTGTCTGTCCCAGAACAGCCATTTCTCCTGTAGTGATGTGTGCACATGGGCTTTGGACTTGTTAGCAGCTCTCCCCAGACATTTTTGGGGGCACAGGCCTCCAGGTCCCCAGCAGGCACGTGCAGCATCTTCTGGGAGCTGGGCTTCTGGGGAGCTTGAGCTGCCAGGACAGGCTGGGTTGGACCCTGCCCCCAGGGCGTGGTGGTCACAGGGCAGCCACAGGGCCTGAGCATGGGCCATGCCCTGGACATCAGCACAGGGTGGGCTCTCCCAGGGGATAGAGTCTGGGCGGGACACACACTGCCCATTGTGGCAGTCACGTTCCTCCCCCACAGGTGAGGCGTGCCACCTGCTGGGGCATTCAGTGGGTGGGTCTTGGTTGTCACTGTGGCTGTAATGGCTGAGTTTTGAGTCAACAAAGTTTTCAAGGTGACACTGGCTTTGCAGCCAAGGAGCAGATGCCTTTGGGACTTTTGGCAGGTGGGGTTCATTAGGATCCTGGGGTTGGCTTGTGATGACGTTCACCAACCAAACCTGGCAGCTTTTTGTCCTGCTGCAGAGCAAAGAGGACCCAGTAATTCCAGACAGCCAGAATGGGGGTGGCCTTGGGTGCCCTTGGCCCAGCCCTGATTTGGCAGGTGGGCCAAGGCCCAGAGGTTGGAGGGTATTGTCTGAGGCCATGATGCCCATGTGTGGTAGAGCCCAGATCTGTCACAGCCTTGTCACCTCAGCCTTCTCTGGGGCACACTTGAGGCAAAAGCTACGTCTCTGAAAGGTTCCAGCAAACTGGGGTCCCCAGCACCCTGCTGCTGGCGTGGCTAACATTTAACATGATCAGTGCTCAGACACACACTATCACATTTACCCATGAAGTCAGGCACAAGAGTCCCCCCCGCCCCCCACACACCTGCATCTTAGGTACTGGAATGCACCAGGTCAGGCAGGACAATCTGAGCAGCGTGAGGAGGTGAATGCAGACTCAGGGGCATTTTCTGTTCAGGTTGATGCCAGCACATCCCCTGTTTCCACATTACAGCCCACAGGGCACAGTGACACTGTTTGGGTGTTCGGCACGCTGGACATGGCCAGTCCTGAGGGCTGAGGCAGCAGTGTCTCGGCGTCACCTGTGGGCCGTCCGCAGCTCATTGGGCTGACACTGAATGGTATTATTTGTACTAGCAGGAGGCACATCACCCTTCACGAAGATTTCGTGAACACCGCCACTTCTCTCTGGCAGAGACAGACTACCCAGCCGGGTGTTGGGGTTGGATCTGGCTGGCTGGCTCCTGAGCTCCACAACGTTTCCCAGCCTCATGCCTGGGCCTCCTCCACCCTGGGCAGCCTGGGCCAGCGAGGCTAGGGACACAGGTTGGGGCGGGGGGTTGATGCCTCCTGCCCAGGCTGGGCTGTCTTCCCTCTTTCTTGTGCCCCTACCCATTCTCCTTCTGTCCTGGCTCAGGTCTGTGCCAATCAGGGGAAGGGGGCTCAGAGACCCTCCCATCGCAGGCATCTGGGGCCTATGCCCACCATCAGGTTGGAGTTCTGACCTGTGCATTTTGCATGAGGAGCCATCTTCAGTCCTCTGCTGTGTCGAGAGAGAGAATATGCTCTATGCGGACTGGGGGGACCTCTTGAACCCCACAGTGGCCCAGGTGGGGGGACTGCGGGGTCCCCAGTCCAGTGAGGCTGCGACTGGACTCCTGCCATGGCCTGGGCCAGCATCCTGGGTCTAATGGGTGGCCTAGCCCTTCTCTCCTCAATCCTAGAGCCCCCAGTACCCTAGCCTTCACTTTTCTCAGTTAATCAAAAGATTCCAAGAAAAGCAATCCCATCACAACAGTGTCCTCCGTGGAGCATTCAGGAACAATGAGCGTGTGCATGACAGGCTCAGCCACCTTCCTCCAGAGAGAGTGCCTTTTATTTTTCATTTGCCGAGCCCATTTCAGCAGCTTGTTCACTGTGACAGCAGTGGTCATCTTTATTTCAAAGTGACATGAATGCTGTAGCCTGTGAAAGGACCAGGGCCCTTGGGACAGGCCTGTGATCTTGGCATCGTGTGGTGCCCCAGTCCCTGCCTCTGCTCCCTTGTGCCCCTCAGCATGCTGGGAAGAAAGCAAAGCCCAGAGTTCTCTCTCTGCCTTCCACGCACGTCTCTTCTGTCACGTCCCCTCTGAGAAGGGGCCATGTTGCTGCTGGTCTTGTTGGCATCTCCAGGGCTGGGCTGTGGATGCCCCTGGCCGTCACAATCCTCTGTCCCAATTTTGTGCTCTGCCCTGAAAGCAAGTGTTTAACTGAACCCACTGTGCACAGTGTGGCCCTGAGCACCCTGGAGTAGTGTTCCAGCTGCACCCGCCGCTCGGGCAGGTCCCAGGCTGTCTCCTTCTCCAGGCCAGCCCCACATAGGGGCTGCACTTGGGTGGGGAGCTTCTGACAGCCACACTGTCTCACTGGGGCCTCAAAGGGCCCCGTGGGACAGGCAGGGACCATTGCTCACCTCTTACAGATGAGGCAGCCAAGGCCTAGGGAGGCTGAGGGGCCTGTGTGAGGCCCCTAGCTGGTAAGCACCAGAACCAGCCTGGAGCTGAGCCTCTCTTCCAGCAGAGCTGCGGCATCCGCCACCAGAGGGCCTGTCGATGGCACAGGGCCCGACTCCCCGAGAGAATCAGCATCTTCAGGCCGGGCCTGGGGCTCCTGTGGAAACCAGCTCCTTGGATGGCTGTGATGTGCACCAGGTTGGAATATCAGCTCGACCCTGTGGTGCCATCTCCCTGTCCTCGGGGTGGCAAGTGGGTGAGGTGGGGATTATGCCCCCTGTGTGCAGCAGTGCAGCCTGGCAATGTTTCCAGTTGCATCAGTAAATTCACTCCTGCTGTGCACTTTCTAATGGCTGAAGAGCCTTCCCTTGGCTGAAAAGACACGGTTTATGTAACCATTATCGAGGGGAATTGGGTTACTCTTTTCCATTTAACATTGTGACTAGGAATATTCATGTCGCTGAATTTTTGCATGCATCCTGAATTGTTTTCTGTAGATAGGAATCCTAGAAGTGAAGTTGCCTGATGAAGGAATCTGATACATTTTTACCATATCACCCTTCAGAAAGCTTGTAGGTGAAGGGTTCCGGGCGTTTTCTCTGCAACCTCCTCACACTGGGGAATATCAAGCTTGCGCTCTTCGCCAATTTGTAGGTGAATACCTGAATTTTGCATTTCTTTATTAACACGGTGTTCATTGGCCAGGGGTATTTCTTCATGAGTGAGTTGCTGACGGCCCCTCTTCCTTGCCCTGCTGGTGGAGGAGGCCAGAGTTTGAGTGGTCTTCCACCACTCGGCGGAGCCATTGACAGAAAGCCCCATGGGCTTTGGCCTGGCTTTGTGAAGTGTGTGGTCCTTGGGTTCTGGGAAGGGAGTATGATCCTTATTGACCTGTGTGTCTGTCTCCCCAACAGAACTGTCAGACCTTCAGCAGCCTCAGCTGTCTGAGCACGGGGATGGAAGACTGCGGCCCCCACAGCCCTTTCGCCCTCATCAGTAGCACCAGGTCCTGGACCGCCTTGCTCTCGGCCTCGGCCTCCAGCACGGGGGGCAGGACCCCTGCCGGGACCCCGGTCCCCGATCCTCTCCCCCCATCCTTTGATGACCACCTCGCCTGCAAGGAGGAGCTGTGCTGCGAGGAGTCGGATGGCTGTGCCCTGGACGAGGGCTACGGCAGGAGGGGGGAGTCGGCTCCAGCCTGGCGGGACCGCAGGGCCATTGAGAACAGCCCCTGCTCCCTGGACGGCGAGCTGGACATTGAACAGATAGAGAACAACTGAGGGGGTCGTGGGTCCCTGGTCAGGGGTGGGGGTGCATTAGAATCGACAGCCTCCCTCTGGGCACTAGGTGGGCACTTGAAAAGGGGAGCCCCACTCCTGGGCCTGACGGAAGCTTCTGGAGGGCACTGGCTCCCAGGGGGCGAGCCCACCCACCTCCCAGAGAGGCTTTCCAGTCTTCAGGGTTCCTGGCTCAGTGCAAGCCGACCTGGCCACGCCACGCAGTGGAACGCTCAGCCTCTCACAGCATGGCAGCCGTGGTCCACGGAACTGCTGTAGCCGATAAAGCAGCTTCTTGATTTGGGTCTCTTCCCCCTTTTCCTCGTGGGACATCGGCCGCCCCACTGGGCAGTTGTGGCATTTCCTGCAGGGCTGGCCTGCTCTGCATGCTGACTCCCGGCCGGCGTTTCCGACTGGTGGGGCTTGTCGGGGCGGCCTGGGCTCAGGTCCATCCAGTGGTGTCAAGGCCCTTCTCGGCCTCCTGCTCAGGTTCAGTTTTGGGGGGTCGGCCCCACAGCTTCGTTCACTCAGTTTTATTCCGTGCCTTCTCTCCCAGGTCTCCCTGCTTCGGGCTTGGGAAAGTTCGGGAGACGCTTCCTTCTGTAGTAACACCTTGGCCTTAATTCCAAGTGTGGAAGATAGAGATGCCAGGGTGGCCCTCCACGTCTGAACTCTTGGGGGCCAGGGAACAGCTTGGGTGCTTGTTAGAGGTCAGCTGTGTTGGGTAGACATTTGGTGGATCTTTTGGCTGAAAAGACAGACCCACTTGCCTCTCCAGTGGTGTGGAGAGCCTGACCCCATGGCTCTCTGCCACCCTGGGAGCCATGTTGGCAGGGCTGGCAGATGGCAGCCGTTCTCCTGGCTAACCTGTCCCTGCACGATTAGCTTAGTTGATTCAGGTGAGTGGAGAGGTGTCACCATAAAAGGGCGACCTCTTAAAAATGTCCTCAGAAGGTAGGAGCTATGAGCAGGGGCGCAAACCCAGGCCCTGGCACATTTTGGGGGTGGAGGATGTTTGCTGGCTGCTCTGGGGGGCCTGGGTCGGGGGCCTCCGAGGTCCTTGCAGGATTCCAAGCATGTTCTCCTTGGTGGGTGGGGACTGCTGGCTTTAATCAAGGTGCACTGTCCACCTCAAGACAAGCCTACCTGCTGGTCAGCTGGGGGGACAGAGTGTCTTAAGTGCTGCCTCCCACTGCAGCGCACCCACACGCACAGAGCTTGACACCTGCACCAGCACTGGCTCCCACACCCGGCAGACTCCCCGACCCCCTGAGGCTTCGCTCTCAGGCAGCTCCCCGCCCCAGCCCGGCTTGCAGACAGACCACATGGGCTTTGCTCTCTTGGAATCTGGCTTTTAGCAAACTCGGCATCTTCCACAGACGATAGCAATTAGGTTGACTTATGAGCAAGTGGCTCCTTTTCCCATAAGGCTAAAAATAACTGGGGCATTCTCTCGGGGTTGCTGCCACGTGATCAAGGTGCTTTCGCAGTCACTTTGCTTTGGCTCCTCCCGTGTTGACAGCGAATGCCTCACTTCTGCAGGTCGAGTACAAATGGTTCTCACCTTCTTGCCCCTAAACACCCTGTTTGGGAAACTACTTAAAATTTCACTTTTTTACTGTATCAAAAGTGTGGTGGCTCAAGGTCTGATTTGTAACCTTAAAATGCATGCAGAAACCCCAACTCAATGGCCCTCCAAGGTTGTGTTGAAAGCATCTGGTTGATAGCATAATGGGTGTGCGGGTGCTGGGCAGGCCCTGTGGCAGGAGCCAGCTGCGCCTCAGTGGCTCCCATCAAAGGCACATCCACTTGGGACCCTGGAGAGCTAACCCGGTGAGCTGGCAGCTCTGGGTACACGATGACATCTTGCCTGATCCCCACCAAGTGGCTTGTGGAGACCACGTCGTCTTAGAGCAAATCTGGAGAAGGCTGGGGCAGCTGTGTGATGTCCGGCAGCATACGAACTCAGAGAGCACGCGCTGGGGCCTCTGAGGTGGGAGGTATGGCATCTGGCCCACACCAAGAGCGGCCACAGAGGGAGCGTGGCCTCTACAGCAGCCCTTCCTGTGGAAGGGGAGGCAGGGCCCCATCTCCTGGTCCACACCACAGTGAGGGACGGGGGTTGAGCCAGGATGGGCTGAGTCAGCTGCCTTTCCTCAGGGCCAGGAGGGGAGGCACATGGTGGTGGGTGTGTCTCACAGGGCTGTGGTACGGGTGACCTGCCCTCAGACCCTGCCTGCCACCAACCCCTTCTTAGGCCTGGTGGCAGGGAAGGACAAGCAGGGGAGCTTCTGAGATGGCCCCTTCCTTCCCACCTCCCCCCAGGCTGGTCCCATCTGCCTGCAAACCCAGCCCCAGGGCACTTTCGGGCAGAAGTGATCCCGGCCCAGGGCAGGGCAGGGCAGGGTTCGGTTGTTTCTAGCTTCCTCAGGTCCCTCTGGGCTGTCTGTGCCTCCTCAGAAGCTCCTAGCCCAAGCCCATACCAGCAGCAGTGAGGGGAGAGAATGGCCGGTGTCACTTCTGCTCAGAGAAAAAAAATGACCTTCAGGTGGTTTCATGTTTGTCTTTTGATTGGAGAGAGCAGACCCCACTAGAAGATGCCACCACACTGCCCACAGAGGCCCATTTGTGCTCAACCCACTGGCATAAAGATTTCTGCTCTTGTAGCTCTTGGAGGGGCTCACCCAGGAGGCTCCCTTGGACCCCGTGTGGCTGTCCCCCTGGGGCAGCTGTGGGCTGGTGGACTCACCCTGCAGGTGCCACACTTTTGTTGGGGCCCTGCCTCTCGCAGCCGATGCCCATGAACTCCTGCCTCTGATGTGAGACTGAGGAAGTTCAGAGCCAGGAAGGAGGGCTGTGCCAGGCCGCCCCCCTGCCCAGGGGGCCCTGAAGGACGAGCGGGGTCGTGGCTTCAGGAGAGCAGTGTGGGGAGGAGAGGCTCGCTGTCATATGCATCCCGGCTCACTCCAAAGGCGCGTCTTCTCCACCCTCAGCACTAATGGACTGCTGTCTGCCTAGAGGCTGGCCTGGGGCTGGCCCAGGGCAGGGCTGCAGCCTCCCCACTTAGATTACCGCGAACTCGCTTGCCTTACTCGTGGTGGAGGCTGGCCTGGCTGGGCCTGCAGACAGACACGATGTTCAGGCCACAGGGGAGCTTGTTCTGACTAGACATACGGATTTTCATTCTCAGAAAGCCTTACTTTTCAACAAAATTTTTGCAGCAGGAGAGTTTTGTGAATTTGTATGCTAAAAAAAAAATAAAGGAAAAGCCCGCATTAAAAAGAAAACAACCCAAATGTCCAGATGGGTCTCCCAGTGCAGGGGGGCGTGTGAGCTGGGCTGACGCTGCCCGAGGGGGCGTTCAGGGCACTGCCTCTCTGAGCAGGCGTCCGTGGAGTTTAAAACGCACCCTGGGTGCTCTGCCATAGGCTCAGGCTTGGCGTGGGCTGCGCCTCCATGTCCGTTGACGAGGTTCAAGTCGTGTGCACTCTGGCCTCGGGGCCGGTCACCTAAACGATGACCACTTCAGGCTCTGCCGCCTGGGGCGTGAGCAGTCCAGCCCAGCAGCGGGCTCGGCAGCCCGGCCAGGACACGGTGGGTGCTGCCCAGGTGCTCAGCTCCCTGTGTAGGCAATGATGCTGCATCTTGCCATGTCCACACCGTTGGTCAGACACCTCCCCTGGGTGCCAGTCAGAGAAAACCATGCCTCTTTTTAAAGAGAAAAGAAAAGAAAAAGATTAAAAAACAAATCTCAGACCACAGCAGAGATCTTGTAGCCTAGATAGGATAATCTGACCTAGCGTAGTTCTTTGGCAAATTGTTTTCAGTGCGTGGAGATATCCTGGGAGCTCGGGTAACAGCGTGCAAGCTGTTTCTGGGGCTGTAGCATGCTTTCCCGAGCCGTACGTTGTTGGTGTTGCAGAGCCTCAGGAGGTAAGGTGGCCAGGACGTGTGGTGTCAGGCCAAGCCCCTGCCTGGGCGAAGCAGTCTGTGTGCGGAAGGCACTGGGTCTGTGTCTCGCCCATCTCCACCCACTGCAGCCTGTCCTCCGTGCAGGCCATGACTGTCTTGCACTAGAGCCGCTCTAGTCTCTCAGGAATTTGCTTGTTACTTTTACTGTGTAAATAAAGCTTCCTGGTTCAGTACCTAACCGTGGGCGCCAACAGTGTGGTTTCTGTTGGGAGCGGTGCATTGATGGGTCCCCCCTCAGCCCATGGGAGCATTGGCTCTGGGTTGGCAGGGGCAGAGCCTGGACCCTTCTGTCCCCTCCGAGCCTCAGGGTCAGGTCAGTAAAGTGGGGATAGCAGATCTCTCAGTGGTCAAGGGGCTCAAATGCAGGAGACTGCGTGAGCGACTGTGAGGGTTAGGGCTGGCCACGGCACAGCTGTGGTCATGGGGGAGCCCTTCTAGAGGTGCCGTCCAGGCAACCCAGCCCAGGGCAGTGTGTGTATGTATGTATGCGTGTGTGTTTGGTGGTAGAGGGGCCCAGCTCCTCACCCCAGCCAGGAGTCAGGGACCCCAAGACAGCAGAGTGGAGACACCTCCTGTGTGTAATTTCTGAGTCAGGAGCAACGGAGGAAGCTGCCTTTCACAGAGCCTTCATGAGCACATCAGCTCAGCCCTCAGCAATGCTGAGAGGCAGGGCCCCACGGCAGTGTGCTCCAGGTCCCACTGCTATGGAGTGCCTGGCCTGGCCTGGCGCCCTGCAGGGCCATCTGCCCACCAGGGTAGCCATGGAGGTGGTACAGGCCGGGCCCCCATGCCCCATGGAAGGCAGCATGGCTCAGACCTGCACTGCTTGGGCCGCAGGGATGCCAGTGTATGCAGCTCAGCCCAGAGTGGGCTCTGGGGCATCAGTCCCTATGCCTGGTCCTCCACTGGGGACCCCTGGCTAACCAAGCTCAGGAGACCAGGATGTTTGCAGCCTTGAGGACAGGCGAGAGAGGCTTAATTTCTGTATCGCAATGTTCGCCCACAGGGTCTGACCACAGTTTCTGCCTAGAACATCTATGAGGTCCTGAGGCTGCCCCTCGGGACCTGAGCACTCCGTGCAGACTCTTGTTTAAACGTTTTCAGTTTAGCAGCGGATTCTTTTTGAGACAAAATGGCCTGTGAATGCCTAGTTCACGACACGGGTGAAGCAAGGTTACTGTGGCTGAAGCTGCGGGTGACGGGAGCCCCTCACCCTGTCCCTGGCAGTCTTGCAGTGTCAAGGCCCAGGGACCCAGGGACCCGGCCTCATGTCCCCCATGACTGGAAGGGCAGAGGCCAGGAGAGGCTTTGTTAACCACAGTGACCCCACATGTTCCCTACCTGAGGGGAGGGCACAGAGTAGCCTGGATGGACCTCCAGCCCCTAACAGCCCCTCATCTACCTCCTCAGATGAGGCCCCTGGCTGGGCTCCAGCCTAGCACCAGCCCTGCTGTCGGGGGAGCAGCATCTGCCCTCCAGCCCAGCTCGCCCGCTCTTTACCCTGGCGTCTCCCCATGGCAGGAGGAGGAGAGTGCCACACCCTCCTGTATCTTGAGATTTGCTGAAACCAGGACACTGCCCTGGGCACAGGCTCTAGGGCTCGCTGGGTCCACTCTGCCCTGCCATTGGGTCCAGCTGCAGGTCTCTGTGGGCCCGGCCCCACTGTGGCCCCTGAGCTGAGCCAGCTTGCACCTGCATCTGACACGGGCACTGTCTGCGGGACCAGGCAGTGTGCTGACTCTGAGCAGTCCCCTCACGTGTACACAGGGTCCATAATACTTGTGAGGTTTAAATGAGAGACTAAACACCAAAAAGCCCCAGGACCATACTAGACGTACAGTCCAATCCAGATTGTGTTAAAAACGTCTATCTTCACATAGAAAGAAGGCCAAAAGGAAATGACCCAAATATCAAGTGGTCAGACTCTAAGTGACTTTCGGTTTCTTTTTATACTTCTTTTCTGTTGAATTTCCTACAGTAATACATATTGCTTTTATAATCTTAAAAAAGAAAAAATAAGATAATGCAAAGTACCCAACATCACCTAAACCAGGACGGTGTTGGGAGGGAAAGCCGAGCTGCGGGTCATCTCGCTGGGGTGGGAGGTGGAAATGTGAGCACACGGTGGGAACGTGCACGTGTCCCTCCCTGGGTCCCCACCTCTGGCCCCTTCCCACCTGCCAGCTCCTGCCGGCCTCCCTGAGGGGCAGGAGTGGCCCAGCGGGAAGGTCAGGCCTTTGCAGGCGCCTGAAGGAGGAGGGAGCGCTGGAGCCGCTGGGCCCAGGGGCAGGCGCATGCCTCGTGTCGAGGACTCCGATGCTCCAGCCCACTCCCAGCCGCACGTCAGCGAGATGACAGTGCGGAGGGCCCCCGTTTTCCTGTCCTCTTCCTGGTGCCATGCTGCCTCCCGTCTCTCTTATGGGAGTTTGGGTAGGGTGGCCTTGGGGTCAGCCTGAGACTTTCTTGGGACCCATATCCAGCCAGGCCTGGACTTGGAAGTCACGTGAGACAATAAAATCTTGTTGGCTTAACCCAGTTGGAATTGGGTTTTCACACAGGGCTGGTACAGTGTGGACCCTCGAGTTGGAAGATCTAGGGGTAGGTGAGGCCCTTGTGCCCCCCAAAAGGTGACATGCTCAGTCTCTCCTCTCCACCCCCCCCCCCAGCCCAACAGTGGCTCTGCTGGGTGCCCCTAGAGCCTGGAACGTTCTTGCAGCATGGCTGGGCCCAGGCTGGTGCCCCACTCCATGGCTCTGCTGAAAGGACCATGGCAGGGGGCGGGGGGGGGACATCCTGGCCTGTTCCCTGGACCTCGAGTGTCTGTTTCTTAGCAGGAGGTCTGTGCTGCGTCTCCTGAATGCAGACAGGTCTTTAGGCCACAGACAGCCCCGAACTCCAGCCCCACCCGTGGCCAGTGGCTCTGTCTATCTCTGGCCCGAGAACTGTGCTCCCCAGCTTGGGGTCATGGTCTGTGCGGGCTGTGGCTAGGCAGCTGCAAGAACCCAGGAGTGAGCGAGGTCCACGTTGCCCTGGGCAGCACTGTCACCCTGGGTGGCAGCAGGACAGAGGTCATCATCCCCAGCCAGGTGATGGCACCCCAGCATGGCCTGGTCCCCAGCAGGGCTCAGTGATGCCTGTTAAGAAAAGGATGCAGCAGCTGAGGCTTAGGGCTTACATGGCACCCCCATAGTAAGGCTGGACTTCAATCCCAAAGAAAATTTTGTCTCCAGAAGGAGGACGCCAATGTACTGGCTTGCCTGGAAAGTCACAGCCACTGGGGCCACCACAGGCCACTCCCCACAGAAGGGCTGCGGAAGGGACTAGAAGGGATATGGGATGCAGGCTCAGACCTTGATTCGAGCCTCAGCTCTGCCCTTACTGTCGGCCCTTGTGCGGGTCACTTGCTCCCTCTGCACCTCAGTGTCCTTGTCTGTAAAATCGGGAGATAACATGCACCTCACTGATCCCACAGCTCGGGGCATGGGGGGCACGTTCTTTGCCCAAAGTGGATGTCTGTGCCTGCTGTCCCTCCGACACTGCCCTCTGACTCCCTCGCTGTCCCCATTCCTGGGCAGCAGCTTGCAAGAGGAGGCTCCGCTTGTCCTGGAGAGAGCGAGCACCAGCCTCCTTCCTCCAGAGGGGTGCTGCCCTGGCTGCCAGCTCCTGCCAAAGATGCGAGCAACGGCAGCCCACAGACAGGGAAAGAAAGAAAAAAGGAAAACCAAAGCGCCACAAAACAAACCGTCCATGCAGGCACCCTCCATGCCGCGGTGAGCTGTGACCCACTGCGTGCCCGCTGCCCCGCCACCGCGGAGCTCCTGACGAGCCGTGATGATGGGCAGCTCACAGGCCAAACGCCCCTGCTCCCTGCATGCCAGTGTCACCATCCCGGCTGCTCTCATCCATTTTCTCCCCATCCTGATTTAATGGGGGACAAGGCCCGGGGACTGCACAGCCCCTGCCACCCCAGGCTCCCGTGCATGGACTCAGGTACAGGGGCCAGCGTTTTATCACTGTCTGCCTTTATTTAGTGGAAATCCTGTTACGGAGGACCCAGGACTTCTTTTGTGAGAAGTTGTTGTCTCCCAAGACTTGTCAGTGGCGTCTGGATTGATTTGGGGAGAAACAGAGCAATATTTGTTCAACTGATGACTCTGAAACCTGGGCTGTGAGTGAATTCAGAAGCCTGCGGCTCACCACCACCAGCCACGGGGCTGCTCTGTGAGGAAGGCCGACGTGTGCCCTGGCCCGCCTGGGCCCTCAGGGCCTCAGTTTCCCCATCTGTTAAACGAAGGGGTTGGGGTAGGTGAGGTCTCAGGGCCCTGGCCTCTGACGTTCAGGGTTCAAGCCAAAGGCAGGACCAGGACAGTGTAGAGCCCTTCCCCACCGCCTCCCACCCCCACGGCCCTCCGCAGCCAAGGCCTGAGTGGGCTGTGGGTCAGGGTGGAGTTTATTTAACCATAAGTCTCCTCCTGCATACACCCGGCAGGACACACTCAAGTCTGTGACTTAGGGCTCCAGAATGCACCCTCTCTGCTTGCAACCTTGACTCCAGAGGGTGAAACTCATGCTCTGTAGGACGGGAGTCTTCAAAGTGCCCCCGGGAGCTGCCCCGGCTTTTGGCTCAAGAGGTGACTTGGGGGGATAGGAAGAGCAGAGGGTGGGCTGGCATTATTTGGGGGCAGGGGAGTGTGCTAAACGACCACTCTGACATCAGGTGGAGCCAGGGGGTGGGCAGGGGCCACTGGGAAGTCCCAGGGAGGCTGGCTCAGCTCTGGGCTGCATGGACTGTGCATAGGAGGCTACTGCTTTCTCAAGGCTCCTCACCCAAATGCAAAGCATATTTGATAAAGAGGCAGTGGGCAATGCCTCTGAGTCTCATTAGGTGGAGCATTTAAAGAACCAAGTGCAAATGGAGAGTGAACAGATTCGGGCTTCGGGACATTCCCAGAGCACCTTGAGCCCATGCCTGCAGGGTGTTCCTTCTCTGGAGGCCGACAGGTCTGTCCCACCCTCCTGACTTCACTAGGGGACTGCGGGCAGGGAAGCAGGCCTTCCTGGGGACGAACTCTGCCCAAGAGGCTAGGGGGCATGACTGGGGAGGGGGGAGGGAGGCAAGGGATCAGCAGAGGAGACAGAGGAAGGGCCTGGCTGGCACAGGCCCAGGGGCAGGGCAGCCCAGAACTGCCTGGCTGGCGCCCTCTTGCCTGCCTGTCCAGGGCAGAGGGCAGAGGGCAGGGCCTTGGGTGGTCCAGGCACTGGGGGAGGTGTGGCAGGAGGCTGGGGGCCCTCCCAGAAGGCCTGTCACTTGTCCGCGTGCTGCAGCAGCAGGTCCACGGCCTCCGCGAGGTTGTCCACGTACCCATCAGCCTTCACTTCTGGATGGTGCTCGTCACTGGGCCTGGAGAGCAGGGCTGTAGGTTAGTCAGTGGGTGACCCCATGGTGACCCCACTGAAGCTACTTTCTCTCAGCATCTAACACAGACCTGGCATTGCCCTTGGGAAACCTCCAGGCCCTTTCGCATCTGGTCAGGCAGCCAGGCCTGTGGCCAATGGCTGTCCCCCTCCCCACCATGCCCCAGTCCCAGCCATCCCCACTCAGGGCACACACACACACCTCCCTCCTGACTGTTCCCTCCCACTGGATACCTCCCCAAACCCTTCTGTTGGAAGCCTGCCTGGAGCCCCGTGGTGGAGTGACCACTGGCCCCTGCTCCATCCATGCTGCCAGCAGAAGCAGCACACCCTGAGGCTGGGGCCGTGAGCTCCACCCTGCTCTGAGCTCCTTCCTGCCCAAACCCTGGGGGGGCCCACAAGCCATCTGGTCGGTGCCCTCTGAGGCAGCTCCTCCTGCTCAGGAGCTCTAGCTCCTGTTGGGGGCTAGAACCTCCCAGAGCCTTCATCCATTCTCCAGACACTTCCTGAGGTCTGGCGAGATGCTGGGGACAAGGGGAGCGAGACCACGCCTATGGGGTCCTTGCAGCACCAAGGGGACCCCACGTGGGGGCTTCCTGAAGGAAGGGCTGTGGGGTCCTGAAGTAGAGCGGGGCTCCAGGTGGGCATGTGGGAGGGGGAAGGGAACCATAATGGGGTTGGAGCCCCAGCCACAGGAGGGGACATCCTGCCTAGAGTCTTGACAGTTGTGTAAGGAGCTGGGACCTCGTCCCCAGGGCCATGGGCAGCCTAGGGGGTCAGTGAGCTGGAGAGTGGGGTCCTGGTGACTGGAAGGCCCCTCCCACTGCTCCTGGGTTGGAGCTTGGTGGGGTGGGGCCGCCCTTCTGCATCCTCCCTCTCCTGAGGGCCTGCTGCTCCTATCCCCCCAAGGTCTGACCCAAGCTCCCTGGGGAAATGCAAACCCATGTCCCCCCAGCAGCCAGCCCACCACCTTGGAGGCTCCCGCCTGGTCGGGGAGGAAGTGGCTGAAGTTGGTTCTGACAACATCCTAAGAGCCAAGCTGTCCCTTCTGAAGGGTGTGGTTTCCGCAAAGCACTTCACCCTAAACCGGCCGTTGTGGGCAAGGGCACCTTTTCTTTCCGAGTTTTCAGCCCAGTGGCCTGGAAGCCACTTCCCCAGGGGCTGCCGAGGCCCAGGACCTGGCGTGGGGGGAGGGCAGCGGGGACACTCCTTATGACTTCGGCCCTGCCCTGTCCCCCGCCCCTACAGGAGGACCCCCACTCACTCGCCCACCCTCTTGTACAGGCTGAGGCCCCTTTCCCTCCTGCCTCAGTCCCCAGGCACAGCCTTCACCGGTCTCACATCATTTTCTCCTTACATCCTCGGGGAGGAGCCAGGTACCCCCTCTTAGAGATGAGGAAATGGGGGCTCAGAGAGGTTCAGAGACTTGCTCAAGGTCACGCAGCAGGGAGAGCAGAGCTGGGATCTGACCTGGCTGTTCTGACTCCCAGCTGTATTCTGGGTGCCAGAGCCTCCATGAGCATGCACGGCTGCTGGATGTTCCCACCCCCTCCAGGAAGGTCCTGGGTCGGCAGCACCCCCTCTAAGCACAGAGGCCACCTATAGATGCCAGGGCCAGCGGGCATCACTCCTCTGGCCTTCCCGAGTGTGGCCACCCTGTAGTTGGAGGATCAACATGCTCCAGGACAGATGCCCTGGAGGGCACATGACTCCTCCAAAGATGAGGCCCCAAACCATGAGTCGTGGGGACAAAACAAGGGGACGAGTGCACAGGGACCCTCACCACCACCCATGGCATCAGCCACTCAAGCAAGAATAACTCTCGTGTCCGTGCAGGTCTTTTAAGAGAGAGTTACTTTGTTCTTGCCATCACACACACAATCTAGTGCACGTGGGAAGTTAACATTTACATCATCCTACCTCAGTGCTGAAACGTGCACTTGTCACTATCAGAAGCTTGTATATGGCATGGCCACTTGGGAAAACTGTGTGTCAGTACCTACTTGTGACCCACCAGTTCCACTCCTAGGTATGCACACAACGAAAGTGCATCAACATGGTCACCAAAAGACATGTACTAGAATGTTCTGAGCAGCAAAAAGGCCAAAAACTGCACAGATGTCCATCAACGGGAGAAGGAGAAACAGACTGTAGTCTGTGCATACGTTAGAACAGCACGAGACAAGGCCACTCGGAAGGAACTGCTCCCTGCACTGCAACGTGTATCTGACGTCATCCCCCAGACATCACAGCGGGCGGGAGAAGCCAGGCCCACAGAGCCCAAATGGGACGGCCCATCTATACCAAGTTCAGGAACGGACACAGCTGGTCTCCAGTGCAGAGGCTGGAAGATGGTCACTTCTTGGGGGAAGGTGATCTGGGGTGCTGGCCTAGACCTTGACCTGGGTGCGGGGGTGGCACATAGGGGAAAACGCATCATGCTCTTCATTTTTAGTGCACTTTATATGCATATAAACATAGGTATATAGAACATACTTTTGAGATATATGCTATACCTGGAAAATTTGACTCAAAAGTCGCATATAATCTCACAATACAAGGGGGTGTATTCCCATCACTATGGCTGTTCTCTACGGCGTGGGGCCACATCCCGCCTGCAGCCTGTTTTGGTACAGCCCTCTAGCTCAGAACGGTTTTCATATATTTAAGGCATTGTAAAAAGAGAATATGCAACAGAGACCACGTGGCGCCTACCAAGCCTCAACCAGCTCCTCCTCGGGCCTCTACAGCAAAGGCTTGCAAAGCCTTGGTCAGGCTATCCGTCCTCCCAGGGGCGGGTGCTCACAGCCTCCCGGCCGCCCAGGGTCCCTGTGGACAGCCCTTCCTGTGGAGGCTCTTCCTCCCTGGGGACCCAGTGCTCTCGCTCAGGCCCTCCTGGGGTGCAGCAGAGGCGGGCTCTGGGTGCTGCCAGCCACGCCTGGCTCCAGGGTGTGCGGGCACCCCTCCCCAGTACAGACTGAGGGGCCAGGCAGGGGTCCCAGGTCCCCCTGCGGCTGCTGACGTGCCCCCTCCCTCCCGTCCTTCCCGGAGCAGGTAGGGGAGGGATTCTTCTCTCGGCTGCTCCACCTCTGAGACTGGGCTGGCTTGGCCCGGGCACAGCAAGGTGGGTGGGTGGGTGGGTAGGAGGAGCCCTCTGAGTGGAGACAGAGACAGAGATAGAGCACCTGAACGGGCAGTACACCCACCCCCGGGCAAACGGTCCCTCTGCCTCAGTTTCCTCATCTGTACCCTGAGGATACGCATGGCTCCACCTCCTACCCACCACAGGGCCTTGGGCAAGCACTGTATGCCTCTGTCCCTTGGTGTCCCTGCCTCTAAACGAAGGTGATAACAGGAAACACACAGGTCTCGTGAGGAATGCGGGAACTGACACACGAGGCTGGGGGAACAGGCCTGGCACGGGGGTTCCGGACCCTTCCTGCAACCACTGAGAACCCTGCAAGCTGTTGGGGAGTGCACTATGTGCCAGGGCTGGGCACACAGGCTGACGGGGGGACAGACAGACGGGACAGAAGGACACACATCAGTATATGAGGCACAGGGAAGACAGCGTGTGTGTGTGTGCAGGGGGCGTGTGTAACCACGGGCACTGGAGCAGGACGGGCACGCAGGCTGGGACCAGGACCCTAGGGGGACGTCCCAACAGCCCAGAGTGCCCGAGGAAGTGGCTGGCAGGCTGGCTCCAGCACTTTGGCCCCGGCTCCCACTGCGCTCTGCTCCTGGCCCTGGTCTTGCCTCTTGCTCGGCCTGTGTGCGTGAGGCTTGAGTCCTGCGTTGCCCTGGATGTGCCCTTTCGGCCATCTGCCCTACCGAGGGTGGCCCCAAAACCCTGCTCAGTGACGTAGGGGCTGCCCTAGCCCCCACTTCTGAGGGGGTTTTCGGGGGCAGTGGGACAGCCGGGCAGGCTTCAGGCTGCACCTGTCAGGTGCTGATGCCCCTTGCCCCCACTCTGTGCCTCTCCCACCAGTTCCTGTCAGACTCCCAACTTTTCTTTCCACCACAGTGAGGTCAGTGTGGTTGCTCAGAGCGGAACAGAACTCTTCCCAGCAAACATCCCACCCCGATTCATCATCCAGGCCCTGGGCAGCTGGCCCAGGTCCCCTCCTCGGACACCTTTACTATACCCTTGGGCCAGGTTTACTGTCCAGTCAAATGAACTCGACCTTGAGAGGGAACAAGAAATCTGCCCGTAAAAGAAGATGCTTTGTAATGTGATTCCAGCTGGCCCCATGGCATACGGTGCCTAGCCGAATGGCGTACATGGCTAATTATGTTTAATTACATATCATCTAAATTCAAGAATCCATTAAAAGAAAGGATTGCATTAGCAGCCAGCGGTGTTTGCCAACACACAGAGGAAATCGTGGAGTTTTATATCTTCATTACGTGTTGCTGCCATGGGCTGCAGCTCTCCGGGAGCCGGGGATGTGGAGGGGACTCATTCTGGACCTGCCTGTCCTGCAGCCCCTGAACGGCTAGGCTTGGCCTAATGGACTGGGCAGGAGAGGACCCCACTCCATGTGGGCCAGTGACCTGCGACCCATGGGCCTCAAAGACCTCACACTACAGAAGCCGAACCAAGAAACCCAGCAAGGACATGCCCCTTGGCAGTGGGAACTGAGCAGAGAAGGTGATGGAGAAAGGGGCCAAGAGACGCGCCTGGCCTTGAGCAGGCCCTGCCAGGTCAGAGCAGGATGTGGGGGGAAGGAGGGGAGACGAGAGCGGGGGAAGCGGGGGGGAAGAGACAGACAGAGGGACACAGAGATGCGCACACAGAGGAAGAGGAGGGGGGCAGGAGAGGCAGGGACAGGAAGGGCAGCATGACAGAGAGAGGGAGGGCGGGAAGGGAAACTGAGTCAGAGAGACAGCAGAGAGGGGCAGAAAAACAGAGAAGAGAAGGTGGGAGAGAGCGGGGCACAGAGAGACACACGGGGGGTTGTAGGCAGAGAGACAGAGAGAGGGATGGACGGAAGGAGGCGAGAAAGAGAGACGTGCAGAGAGGGTCAGAGAAACAGCAGAGACAGAGAGACGGAGCGAGCGAGCACACAGAGTGTGTGTGTTGGGGGGACCGGCACCAGAGTCTCCCGGCAGAGAGCCGGCAGCACCTGGCCGTGCCCCTGAGCGGGGCCAGGGCTGCCTCAGTGGCCCTGACTCCCCCCACCCCTCTGCGACTCAGGCGAGGCCCCCTTTCCCTGCACCCTATAGGCTCCGTGTGGGGGTCACGGGACTGCCCCTCCCCTGCCCCAGGCCCACGCAGGGTGTGCTCCCTGCTCTGCACCCCATGAGCTGCCTCTTCACCTCCCTGAACCTCAGTTTCCTCATCTGTCAGGTGGGGAGAGGACCTGGCTCTCAGGGCCACTCTGAGCGAGAAGCGAGGTGTGGCTGAGAATGCACCTGGTGCTCCACCTGCACTGGGGGGTGGGGCTGCTTCCCGTCCTGCCCTCTGCCCTCCTGGGCTCACAGGGGGAGGGGAGTGAGGGAACTCATGGGGGACTTGAGGGGTCAAGGAAACTTCCAGAAAAATGGACATTAGGCTGGACCCCCCCTCCCCCCATCCACTGTCCTCACCACCAGCCTACTGCAACATGGAAACACGGTCCTTGAGGACGACTTCCTAACTAGGCGGCTCGGGTCTTGGGCCAAAGGTGGAGGCGGCGGCAGATTCCCGGGTGGCGGGTTCGCCTCTCTCCCGGGCTCCTGTGCGCGGTGTTCCGGTGTCTCCAGTGGGTGGGCCCTCCTTGCACAGCAGCCGCATGGGGGTCCTGCTGCCCCAGTTTTGGAGTTGGAAGTGGAGGGGCGGGGCTGCGGCATGTGGCGGCAGGAACAGGATGTCTCCAGGAGGCAGCATGGCTTCTACCCCGCACCCCCCCAACCCCCCTGCTCAGCTGGGCCCCTTCTGAAGGGTGTAGTGGGGTCTTCTGTTCAAGCCTGTCCCTTCCCCACCCCCACAACCAGCTCCTCCCTCCCTGTCCTGCAGCTCCCACTCTCCCTGTGTAAACTCTGCTACAGCTCCTTGTTGCCCACGCACAGCCCGGCCTCTCAGCAAAGTAGACGAGTCCATCCTAACTGGGTGCCCTCCTTCCACACACTAGCCACCCAGCATCCAGGGCCCGCTGGCCTTCAGATGTGCCCTCTCTCACACACTGCTGTCATGCTATGTCCTGGAATGGCATGATCACTAGGTCCTGCTCCACCTACAAACTCCTACTCACCCTTCAAGACCTCACCCACTTGTTCCCATCTCCAACTCTGTGCTCCATCCCACAGGGCGAGTTGCTCTCTTTTCTGAGCACATAGGACTTGTCCCCACCAACACCATGCCATTCTGGCTGGGCACCTGCTGGTGCCCTGCTGACCTGGGCTGCCTAGAGGGAAGGGCCAGGCTTCCTCCCCTCAGTGGTTGCCCACGCAGGCCTGGCCCAGAGCAGGCGCTCAGGAAGTGTCCACCGTCCAGTGAATGAACAAAGGCCCCCACTCAGGCAGGGTGTCGCCTGTCATTAGCCATTCCTCCCCCTCGCACCCTGTGAGCCGAGGGAAGGAGGGAACGACAGAGGCAGAGAACAAGGCCGATCTGTGTGGCGGCCTGGACAGCTTCCTGGGGTGGTCTTTGTACCAGCGACGGAAAATGGTGGCCGGGCTCCCAAGCAGAGGAGCCCAGCAAAGACCATCTCCACGCCTGCCTCCTTCCCCGGGGCCCACGTGGGGCCTGCGCCTTCTCCCTAGCTCTGGGGACCGAGGGGACACAGCCGCAGCCTCTCCCTGAAGACTTCTCGAGGGCTCGGTGCTGCCCGCCCGCCGCCCCCCACCCTGGTCTGCTCCAGGGCAGGGCTGGACAGAGGCTCCAAGCCTGGAGGCCACAGCATTGCCCACACGGGAGGGCACGCGCCCTTGTCCTCGACTGTTTTGGAAGGGCCGGCCGCAGCCCGGCCAAGTGAATGCAGGGACCTGGGCACTGGCACGGGGAGGGTGATGCCAGTGAGAGACGGACACCAACCCCGGGCTGTGCTGACGAAGTTGGAGGAAAAGGGCAGAGGGCGTCGATTCATGGGGCCGGAGGTGACGAGACTGTGCAAAGGGTGTCTTCCTGTCTGAGCCCAGGAGTCTGAGCCCCCGGGTACGGCCAGAGCATGGGCTCCTGCAAACGCCAGGACGTGCAGGGAGACCACCTCCACCTGCCCTCGTGCACGCTTTTCTGAAGGCCGATTACAGGACCCCCGCCACTGGCCGGGGCCCAAACGTGAGGCCTGTGCCACAGGCTTCCCGCTGTCCACCTGCTGACCCAGGATGCTCACTGTCAAGACGGCAGCTGGCTGGAGCCCAGAGGGGCAGCCAGCGACCCCCTGACCTGGGCTGGCTGCTGGTAGGTGCCTGCGGGTCAGTGACCTTGTAGTATGGTGGCCAGGAGAGTGGAGTCGGCTACAGATCTCAGACGGGCTGCTTCTCCCCTCTGTCCCCTGGGCCAACGAGGGACCTGGGTTCTGAAGGGGGGGCAGGCCCAGACTAGGGAAGACACCCTGGACGCCTCCGGGAAAACACGGGGTCCTGCTGCTTACAGAGAAACCTAGGCAAGATCTCCCCATGGAGCCTGTGCCTCCATCCATTTCTGCTGAGCCTCTGCTTCACAAGGGGACCCTGACCTGGTCCCTGCCTGCAGGGAGGTCACCATGGAAACAAGAACCAGGCCCTGCCTGGATGCCTTAGCTGGGTGCCTGGTCATTGGCTCCAGCCTCAGATCCCGGTCCTCACTCAGAGATGGGCTCAGCCTTCAAGGCTTGTGTCACCCAGCCCCGCCCACCAGGCCCTCGGCCCCCCTGGCCCCTGTGTCCCCCACCACCCGTCCTCCGTCCCACCTGCCTGGGCCCAGCCTCTGCCTGAGGCCCGGCACAAACCAGCCTGGAGCCCCTGAGCCCCACCTGGGGACCCTGCAGCCCGGGGCACCTCCCGCCACGGATGGCAGAGACCTGCCCTCCCCCCGCCCAACCAGCTCACACAGACAGGGCCTTCTCTGGCTGCTTTAAAATCACGTGGGGAAAAATACCGAAATAAAACCCCCAGGCCTGAAAGAGTCCTCAGCCCGGCTCCTCTGAGGCCCATGGCTCTCTGGCCAGGAAAGGGAATGGGGACACACTTCTGCGGCTGGGACCCCCTTTGGGGTCAGAGCTCTGCCAGGGGAGGAGGCCGTGCCCCAGAGGTCCCTTTCCTGGCAGGCGCCTGGGCCTCCCCCATCAGTCTGGCCGTCTGCTCATCTGTAACAGGCCAGGGCAGGGAGGTGTAACCCACCCCAAGAACACCCCCTATGGAGTCTCTGTACAAACGAGAAAGGAGAGGTGCACCCTGGTGACGTGCTGGCCTGAACCCCCTCACACCACCCTCCTCGCACCTCAGGGGAGCCAGGCCCCTCAGGGCACTCAGTAGAGCTGGGAGCCTGACGTAGGGGGGCGGGGCAGGGGCATTGCAGGTTGGCTGCCTCCCCTCCCCCACCTCTGCCTATCAGAGGAGCTAAAGGTGGGGTAGGGTCCTGTGCCCGCCAACTGGGAGACACACCCTCCCTCATGTGCACTGTGGCTGGGGTGCCACCTGAGAGAGAGGAGGGTCTCATTATCTGTGTTTTGTGCCTCATGGCCCCAGCAGTCCCTCCGGTCTCCTGGTGGTCTGACCTCATCTGGACGCGGTGATGAGTGGGGCGAGGGCCAGGGCTGGGCTAGCAGGTGCCCATTTCCTTCAGGGGGGCAGTACACCAGGGCCCAGAACCCCAGCCTGGCTGACCTGCCCTCCAGCTGGGAAGGATCAGGAGTTTCTCCCAGCAGCCCCAGGGGCTCTGAGCTCTGATGGGTAAACTGAGGCAGGGGACAGGACTTGCCACAGACTAGAGCTCCCACCCAGCCAGCAGGCAGGTCCGGGATGCCAGCGAAGCTCGCCTGGCTTAGTGGGGTGGGGGAACCACAGACGCTGCGCCACAAGGACCAGGACGACTGTGCCCCACGTCTGCTGCAGGGGAGCTCTGAGGAACATTTCCCGTGCACCCTGCACAATGCCCCATGACATGGGCACAACTGGCCCATGCTAGAGATGACGACACAGACGCAAGAGGGGGAGGAACCTGCCCAGAGTCACAGGAAGCACATGGCCAAGCTGGGACCTCAACCCCGCGTGTCTGGCTTTCACACAAATTTAAATCCAGGCTCTTTTTAGCGCCTCTTCCCTCGGCGCCCGGGACGTAGTCTGCATGTGGGAATCACTGATGTGCGGTCGACCTCCAGTCAGGCCAGAGGCCTGTGGGCAGCGGGCCCGCTCCCCTCCGGCTCAGCCCCAGGACAGACATGGGCCCTGGGGAGTGACCGCCAGCTTTGACCAATGCAGTGCAGACAGCACAGTGTTCGTGGAAAACCAACAAGGAAAATGAAAGAAAAGCCACAAGTCCCACTGGAGCTAGGCCGCCCCGCCAGAACCACAGAGCCGCCAGGACTCCTTATCCGGGCCTCGCGGTCACCAGCCCCGGGGCCAGGCCTGCACAGGGGCGAGTGCCAGCCAGGCAGAGGGCGAGCCGGCTGGGGCGGGACTTCGCCGTGGGCCCCAGCACCTGCCCCCGGGGCCACTCTGTCCACAGGGAGCAAATGGGCTTGTTTATGGTGAGTTTCAGCCTGGTGGCACCTTGTCAACCAGAACCGACCCCCCAGCGCCAGCTGTTTCCTGTGCGGTTCTCACTGCCCATCAGCTGCAGGCACCTGGGGGTGCTGAAAACAGAGGCAGGACGCCCGAAAATGAGTGGGCGGTGCCGCACGGCCGCCCAGCGGCACGTGGGCAGTCTCTAGACGCCCTCACACCGACAAGCGAGGTCCCTTGAACCTCAGCCCTGCTGGAGCCCCTGCCCCGGCCTTTGCCCAGTTCACACACACAGTGAGGCCACAGTCACAACCTGGTGGGCCTTGGACATGTCTAGTTGGGGTCACATAGTGTTGTTCAAAAATAGAAGCTGGAAATCTGGCTTCTTTTGAAAATCTGGAAGATCCAGTAACAATGGGCCAGCATTCCCCAGGCAAAACTGAGCTGATGTGCTGCGGCAGCTGCTGTCTTGAATGGGGCAAGTGGCTGCTAATTTGCCACACTCCCCACCGTTCTCTCTCGTCTCTCTATTCTTAGCCCAGGCCTGGTTCCCTCCACTGTATTTCCTGCCTGCCCCTGCAGGTATCTGAATCTGCTGCCCTGCCCTAAAGCGCTGCCTATCAGGGACTCATTTCCCAAGGAACAAGTCACCTCCTCCAGGAAGCCTTCCCTGAGCCCTTCCCCCAGCCCTTGCCTTGGTTAGGTGCCCACTCTGTGCTTCATGGCACTTGTGTTGACCCTTCAGAGCACCCGTCACTCTACTACAATTGTCTGGTTACCTGTGTCATGCCCCCCTCCAGACTGCGCCCCCTGAGGTCAGGGGCATCCCCATGGTGGCCTCATGCTCCCAGCATACGGCCTTGGCTCCTGGCAAAGACAGGAACAGTCAGCCAACTGCCTGAGCAGGTGAGCAAGTGGCCTCCTTCCTTCTGACCATCCAGGGGCTGTGTGTCATCACCCAGGCATCCGGCTCCCTAGAGATCTAGGTTTGGGGGCCAGTCTGTCCCCATAGCCGAGGGGGGAAGGGCAGATGGGCAGGAGTCTGAGTCTCAGGGCCTGGAAGCCCTGGCCTGGCCTCACTCTCCTCGTCCTCCCTAGAGCCCAGGCCCCAGCACGTGGGCCACGTGCCCTCAGAATTCCTCACCTCCTTGGGGAGGCTCCACTGCTGAGTCTCCAAGCACCTGGGCTCTCGGTTGGGGTGGCAGTGCCAGGCCACAGAGCATTTCCTCCTGGAGAACCACTTACCAGGATGAAACACCCTCTGCCCCCAGACCCAGACTGTCAGAGCCGTGAGAATGCCACCTACCCCAGGGCCAACCTCCAGTCTAACTGAGCCCTGAGAGGCAAGCCCCTCATGGCCCCAGGCCTGCAGCTCTCTGCGCCTGCAGGCTGAGCAGGCTCCAGCAGCAAGGGCAGCGTCCTGAGCAGAGCCGCCGGTGTGGGGGTTGGAAGTGGAAGGGCGTGGACGCTGGGGCTGCACATGAACAGCAGCGGGGGTCCGAGTGGTCTATGCAGGGCACCATCACCCCTGCGGTTCCCCACCACCAAGACCAAATCCAGTCTCCCTAACGTGGCCCGTGAGGTTGCCCGGAGCCCGCCAGCCACACCCCCTCCTCCCCCATAACTCCCCAGCTCTGGCGTTCATCCTGTCACGTGCCCCAAACTGTCCACGCCATGGCCCAGAACATCCTCTTACTCCCACTCCCCTCTGCAAGGCCCGACTCAGAGAGGCCCCCCACCCCATCGTCTCCAGGACCCATCCTACCCCCTGAAGGAACGAATGAATGAACACCTGTAAGGCCTCTGGGACACAGGCCCAGGGAGTCTAGTTGGGACCTTCCAGAATGGGGGTCTGACAGGGTCATGGGAAGAGCACCCCACAGTGGGCAGCTGTGTGCACGGAGCCCCCTGGGAGGCAGGGCACCTCAAGTCAGTCCCGAGCAGTCAGCCATCACACCCCTGTCACTCCCACAGGTCGTCCAAATAGCAAGGGCAGTTTCTCTTTTCTTCCCCCTTTTTGTTCCCAGAGAACATTTCAGGCCTGACCCTGGAGCTCCTTAATTACAACCACACGCAGGACTCGAGCCTCCCACACCTGGGCCAGGGGAAGGGCAGGGAGCTGGGGGCAGGGGCTGCCCGGCAGAGTGTGTGGCCTCCCGCTAGTGTGGCCCGCTGGGCGTGGCAGAGGAGGCCTGAGCCACGGGTTTGGACTGGGCTGGCCCTGGCTGCTGTGCGGCCTTGGGCAAACACTTAAGCCCTTGGAGTCTCGATCCTCTCCTCCAGAAGTGGGGCTGAGAAGACCCCTCCCAGGGCTCAGCGGGGAGTCAGTGAGATGATGCAGCCAGCACAGGGTGTGGCCCCCGCAGATGCACGATCTGCAGGGATGGACGGATGGCAGGGGCTGCACTGGGGGGGTGAAGAACCCTCGCAGGCCCGCTCTGGCCAGAGGGGAGGGGCACAGTCCACAGCTCCTCACAGGAAGCTCACCTTGGGCTTGGTGTCTGGAGAGCAGATGCCACCTTTGGAGAAGGCAGCAGGTCCTGGGGGCCAAATACCTCAGCGGGGCTTCCCCCAGAGGCTCTCGGCAGAAGCCAGCCAGGCCTCCAGGGACCAGTGCTGTGTTCCTGTTCAGCAGCTGACAAGCAAGCCCGGCGGTGGCCGATGCCAGACCTGCAGAGATGCCTGTGTGGCTGTGCCCAGGGACCGGTGGCAAGGGGTCAGTCTGACTCTCTCTCTCGAGAGAAGGAGCACCACTGGGGCCTCTGACCCAGACTGTGCCCCCAAGCCTGCCCACTTCTCCAAGCCGACAGGCCGCTCTGCTCATAATATTATTCACAACAGTGACGGTCACTGAGGCCCTCTCCCTCCGGGGACCTGGTGAAAACCCTCCGCTGGTTTTCACAGCAGCCCAGGAGGCAGGTGGTACTGCCCCCAGCTTGCAGCTGACAAAATGGAGGGTCAGAGAGGGTAAGTGGCCTGCCCGGGGCCACAGAACCAGCTGGGAGGCCTACTGCCCCCCTACCGGGCTGACAGCACCTGCAGCACGGTCCAGACCCCACGGGGAGCCGGGGGGCTGGGCACCAGGCGGCAGCAGGGGCCCACCGGAAAGGTTGCTTTGGCAGAGGGGCGGGCCTGCCGGGGCTGGGCATCTGGGCTTGCAGCAGAGGAGCCCCTGCAGCTGTTCAGAATATTTTGATAAAAACCTGTTGAACACCTGGTGTGTGTTTAGATTAAAACAAGCTGGCCCAGCCCCTTGCAATGTGCTCTCCAACGGCCAAATCCCCCAAGAAGTCCGTGTGCATCCCCACCCAGGCCCACAGGGGCACAGGGCATGGCTCACTCTCCGCCTCCTGCAGAAATGCCACCACCCCCCTCCTTTTGAGGCTACTCCACTCGAGGTTAGCCCAGCTGGCCCCGGGCTTGCACACCCAAGCTCTGGGATGTCATGAGGTGGCCCAGGAGAGAGGGAGGGCATGGGGTGGTGCCCCTCCCGGTCCTGGGGGTGGCGGGGGGGGACAGTCACACTCATGGAAGGCCTGGTGGTGTCTCCATCACATGCAGACCCGGGGGGCTGGGCCAGGTGGTCCTGTTGATGACAGGGGTTACTATGGGCGGGGGGCCATGCTAGCACCTCCTCAAGCTGTCCTGGGAGGGGGCATCCATATTCTCCCTTGGTAGGTGAAGAAACCGAGGCTTAGGATGGCTGAGGAACTTGCCCAGAGCTCAAGGGGCAGAGCAGGGCTCACCCCTGGCACCTCTGTCCGTCTGTGAGCCTGGGAGGAAGGTCTCCTAAGGCAGGGGGCCCACTGCCAACGGGCCAGGCCACCGCGCCCTGGGTGCTGTTTAGGGTCCAATGTGGGGAGCTCTCACTCCATGTAAAGTGCGGCCTGAGCTGAGAAACGCAGCATGATCAACCCCGTGGCCTTCCAGGAGCTCACACGGGACTGCGGCTCTACC